AAAAAAACATGAATGTGATGGGAATATTATGGCGGAACTCATGGCTGAGAGAAGATCAAAATGACACTGAAGGAAGCATTCGTGGATATTATACACATATAAATAATGGAAGAAAAACACTACGCACCTCATCTGTGAGGGGGAAGCGACCGAAAAGAAAATACTGTGGCACTTTGTTAGCTGGGAAGGAAAGGCGTTGGTGTCGGTGTGTGGATTTGAGTGTCTATTTATCAGAAATATATGGCTGACGGACTCCCAATAACTCTCAATATGAGCATTAACGGACTAGTTTTACCCTTTCCAACAAACGTACGTGTGAAAACTTGGAGTGTGAGTGGGCGCGATAAACGTGGGGCAAAAATGAGAGAAAATGAATAGAAAATTTTGGTGCAACGAAAAACATGACGAGAATTGTAACATAAGCATGACACTGAGATTAGAGAGGGGATTTTTTGGATTTGGCTAAGTTATCATCATAATGTATATCATCTACCACTGCTCGTATGGAACAATTTTCTCGTCGTTTGAGTCATGGGACGGTGGAGGAGCTTCATGCTGTTCCGCTTGCATTTGATAGTTACCAATCATTGGGTAGTCAAAATTTGGCACATAATCGTGTCCGGTCGTCAGGATCACACATTGGTCCAACTGAAAATTTCAGAATATAATTGAACTTTCGAAATCCCATTTTTCTGATAAAAGTGCATAATTTATAGGTCTTCTCTCTTGTAGTTTAGAGATCTAGAAAGTCAAAACAAAACTCCGCCTAGAGAGGAACAAAACGGATAAAGCTGACATTTTTGCATTTTGCTTCGTAAGCAATAATTTTGCTTGTTATACAAACTATACCATAAAGGCGTTTACAATTGTACTTGAATTCGATTACACAACTTGTACGACAGCACAAATATTACATATTACATCAGAAATTTTCAATTTCTAGCTCAAATTCTGGAACGATAATGCTTGAAGTTTTTGAACTGCTCCGAGCTTTCCCCAAAGATGATTAAGAATTCTATAAGCATATTAGCTAATGGCCCTCTCAAAACTACACCATTTGAAAGCTTTTGATCCAATCTATACTTACTGCCTGCTTACTCCCTTTTTTACTTTCGGAAAAGGGATGGATGTATTGCACCAAAACGCCCTCTTTTACTTTCAGAAAAGGGATGTACTGAGCTAAAACGCAAAAAATTCTAGTCTGCATTACGGTAAGCTGCGCTAGCATTACTGTAGCTTTGCTGATCAAACTTGCAGCATTTGAATTTTTCGCTCTTGCAAGCATTTTTTTGCTGTTGAAACGAACAACTAGTAAAACTTTCGATATTGAGATGCAAAAGAACCAACCCCATGATGCTGATATCCAATGCCTTGCGGTAACATCATATCCGGTTGTGTCGTAACAATGTACTGTGGATGTGCAACATTAGGCGTTTCATTATGAATGGTATAATCCATTGGAACTGACACCGGTAATGAAGTAGACGTCAAATGGTGCACAGACGGCTGAAAAAGCTGAGATTTTAGCCAGGCCTCACGTACTCGCTCGTTCGAGCAGAAGCACAGCAGCAAAAGAGCTAAGCGAGAAAGCCAAAAAACATTGAGCGGAAAGAAGTGAACTCGTCCAAAGTAGCTCACCAACTGTTGCGCGTTTATCGGCCTGAAGTTTAGCATGTTCAACTGCATCGGCAAATGCACATTTATCGGTGCTGCTGTCGCTGTACCGCCCAATGATGACTGGAACTATGAAGAATTAGTCGAAGGTGCTTAGACTCACTATGCACCCTTTAAGATTTGCGGTCCTGAGGGGTTTTGTGCTTTCGCAAAAAAAGAGTACGCACTAAATCAAACTGTAGATGGTGGTGTGGGTAAAAACTCGCATTGGATGTGTCTTGCCGATTGCTCCTACTCGTCTAGAATCATAATCACTTAATCACAGCCTGACAAACTTTTGAAGATTTTCAAGGAATTTCTCGCAAAAATAAGATCTTAGCCAGATAATCTTTTCTTTCTCCAGCAAAATTTTCAATATGAAAAATACAAAAAATCAACTTACTTCACTTTTAATATCCCCTAATAACTGTGAATTTAACATATTGTCATCAATACTATTCAGCATTGGATTCGTATGACGTGACGTCAACGACGGGTCCACTTCACTGAAACATTATCACTTTTAAAACTTCAGAATACACATAAATGTGCACAAACACACACA